TGGATGAAGCGCAACAATAAGCATGAGTTAGTTCGATCAGACCCTGAGGGTTACATACGCTGCGCAATCGACTCAATCAATGAGCACCCTGACAAGATCCGCAACTTGTATATGAACTGCGGTTATGCATTGTCAGATGCAGAGTTACGTCGGTATGTCGATTATAACAACCAGGTCACTATTGATGCTAGGGCATCTATGTAGTCACTTTTTTCTAGCTTGTATGAGTAGGTTTTTCGACCGAAGCAATACATTCGTTTATTTTCAGTAACCTGCCATTCTCACGGGCAGATTCCCTCACAAAATGGCTGTACATATGCCCAAATGTAATGCATGAAGACGTGGTTTTCAGGAACCACCGACTCTAGTTGCAGCAAATTGCATACTACTTGACACCAGGGGTGGCGAGTACGGTAGCGATTGAAGTAAGGTGTTGAGCTTTGTAAGGTCATTGTGAAAGAACTAAGCATGCTATCGAGAAAAGAAGAATACCACATAAAAGAGCAGAACTAATAGATACTTTCTGACTCATCGGGAACCTCGTAAACCTCGAAGGGTCTTGCTTCCAGTCGTTTAGCGTTGGAATCCTTCTCCCGCATAATACCTTTCCATACTGGCCAGCAATTCTTCATGAGCATCACCCAGCCCTTCTTAGCGGGTGGTAGGCCATCATCCGGTATCTTTTTGAGGTCGTCGAGGCGAATGCCGTGGTCAACCACTGCATCCCTGACTACGTCAATATTGAAGTTGGTGTAGGCAGGCGCATGTCGCCCAACATACTCCAAGAATCCATCCAAATCATCTCCTGCTGGTCCTGAAAGAGGGCTCGAGCCTCTCATGGGTTGCGCATGGTCTGGTACCTGAGTCGAAGGGGGTGCTTGGTTCAAGTCAAACCGGCTGACTGTCATGGGGGTAGGTAGGTGCGAATGCCCACTTGAAGACCGGCTTTCAGGTGTTGCCGAGGGTTGATCTGTTGGTTTGAATGCTTCACGCAAGCTGTTGAACATGGTGTCATGTAGGGGTGGTTGATCGAGCGAGACCCCAGGCTCTTCATTGGCAATATAGTCTGC